AAAAAAAAAAAAAAAAAAAAATTAAATGAGAACACACTCAGTATGGATTTTTTTTTTTTGAGACAGGGTCTCAGTGTGTTGCCCAGGCTGGAATGCAGAGTGGCGTCATCCTAGCTCACCGTAACCTCAAACTCCTGGGCTCAAGAGATTCTCCCACCTCAGCCTCCTGAGTAGCTGGGACTACAGGTGCACACCAGAATGCCCAGCTAATTTTTTTAACATTTTGTGGAGATAGGTCTTGCTGTGTTGCCAAGGCTGGTCTCAAACTCCTGGCTTCAAGCAGTCCTCCCACCTTAACCTCCCAAAGTGCTGGGATTACAGGTATGAGCCACCTTGCCTGGCCTAGATTTTTAAAAATATGAATGACATCACCACACAATCCCTTATAAGACAAATGAAAAATTTTCTTTTCAAAACGGACAAAGAAAATTGGTCTGTGGGAAGATTGACGATTTCAAAGATCGATGGATTTTTTTTGTTTTTGTTATTTAAAGTCATTTAGCATTTAAATTTTTTTATAATCTTTGATTTGGATATGACATATTTTAAACTTCAAGTAATTTTGAAGCCCTTAATAAGATCCATCTAATGGTAGTGGCCTCACAGTGTAGTCCCTAGTGGAAAGAAACTTGGCTTTTGCCATGGGCCCGCCAGCTGCTGCAGTGAATAGTATTCTGTAAGCAGAACAACTTGCACTAGTATCTGACCTCAAACTTCTGAAACGTGAGCAAGCCTGACTTCCAGCCTGCTCCTTGTCACCTCTGCTAATGGAAGCCAGAGAGGTAGAGAGAGGATCCAAAATAAATGACAATCAATGAATCATTTATATTTGGTTTTGAAGTACATCTAAAATATTGCTTTGCAGCAAATTTTCTACCCTAATAGCAAAATGAATGTGCCTCCATTAGTATTCTTCAGCTGTATGGCATCATGGTATTATTGATGAGAGTGAATTTACTGCGTATATTCTAAATAGATTATATACTTGAGAGTATTAAAAATTGATGATGCTGTCAATCAAAGTACTTTCTTCCTGCATTAGTGGCATATTCTGAATGGCTTCAGTGAATGGATTGAAAAAAAGCCTCTGAGTTGCAGAGTCTGTAGAAGTTTTAGGAGAGTATCACATTTTAAGGACAAGCATGGATCTTACCTGTGCTGACAGTTACATGGTGATTATATGGGAGTGTGGAAAAAAAGAACTGCAAGCAAGGACATGTTTAATATTTTATTTCTTGCAGATTTAATATTATTAGTATTTTTTTTTTCCAATTTTCTAAAACAGCCTGTAAGATTGGAGGAAAATAAAAGTAACCAATGGCTACGCATCAAAGCTTAGTTGAGAAGATAATGTATGATGTATTTAGGTAAAAACTGAATCATTGTATGTTCCAAGCTTTGCTCTGAGGTCTGGCCTTGAGCAGGAGGGTTTAAAAATTAATGAAATTTGTATATGCTCATTTCTTTATTCAGCAGTTATTTATTTAGAACCTCTGTGTGCCAGATTCTGTTCTAGGTCTGGGGGATACTTGGTGATTAAAACAAAGTACTTGCTGTCCTACTGTTTACATTTTTGAGTGTGTGTGTTTTTGTGTGTGTGTGTGTGTGTATGTGTGCAGGTGCTGGGTGTATTTTGGATAGGGAAGAAAATAACATTTGTAATTCTATATCTTGGGGTACTCTTCCTATTTTTTAGTGAGCAAATGTATTCATCTATGTTTATAAATACACACAGAACTGTATATATGTATATTACTGTCTTAACCATATAGGTATAATTGAGACCACATA